AGGTGGGTATGGGATAATCACATTGAAAAATCAATTTTTCTGAGAATTTTTCGTATAAAAATACAACTTCTTAGAAATATTTTCCCAAAACCTCAGGTCATTTGAAGTAAAACTCATTAAGATAATGAGCTATGCACTGCGCCCCTTTTGAACCGGCCGAGAGCGGCAGGCAGGTAGCCGGAGCAGCTGCTTCCTTGCCCTTCAAATTTTATTGCCTTTGTAAATTGTTGTCCTTTGTAAGTGTCATGACAGAACGCGAGCCTACGTCAAAAAAATACGTAGCAATCGCTGACCTCGTGTCATCACCCCTTCGCTGTTGCCGCTGCTGGAAGCGCGTCTTTCATTTACGTACTTCAACATGAGACGTACATAGTTTTTGATTTTTTTCGCATTGACGCACCAAACCTAAAAATCTGAAAAAATTCATGAACAATTCTTGCGGCAATAAGAATCTATCATAAAAATATGGACAGTGTATCCGAACGATTTCTATGTGAACAAAAATATGTTTAGCACCTTCTTATTTTTCACGGTTACATTTTGTAACAAAAAAATCTGAAATAATTCTCAGATGTGTCCAGTTATGCTACGGACGTGTTGGAATTTTTTCAGATGAATAAACAACAAAGAAAAAAAGAGTGGATTGTCTGGGTTTCGAACACACGGAGCCTCGAAGACTCCGAGTCTCGAAGCGTCGAAGATTCCGAGCCTCGAGGAGTGAATTTAGAATTCGCTTGCCTGACAGTCAGCACGCACACACGCACGTACTGCGTCACTCGACACGCGCCCCTTCTTTTAGGAGATGCACGAAGCCGGCCGCGAGATGGAGCGCTTGTAGACGAATACCCTAGGCACGAGCATGGCAAATCTTATACGTATATTTTCAGCTCTCTTCGGCGTGTCCACTTCTGGAGGGGAGTAGTGCACAATCCCTCCTAAACTACGTCTATTTCCCCTTAAATAATGGACATTGACACTAGGGTGCGGTAGTGAGCCGTGTCCACTTTCGAACAAAGAAATGAGCAATCTCCCTTTTCATCTCTGGTACAATGAATTCCGTGCCGACTAGCCACGCCAAGAACAGTGGCGCCTTAGTCTTTGAAGCGTTCCGTGGCGCGCTGCTTGAACCGTTCGCGATCCAACACAATGTCCTTATGTTATAGGTCGTTGAATTCGTTTTAAGATTCTCTATCATGATACGAAAGCAAAAATATACCGATCCATTTAAGAAAATGGTGATGACCTTCAAATGTCCGAAGTACCTCCACCTGCTGAAAAACTATTATCACTGGACGGCCAAGAAATATTTTTGTAAAACTTATAGTTTAGAAAATATTTGAGGTGGTAATAGTTATTTCTCCACTCTGTATAATAACGAAAGAAATCTGGCTAGACTGTGTTAAAAAAATAATGATGTACCACCACATAACGTCGAACATTCGAATATTGTTTGTTTAGCAATCAGCGGAGAAGGAGAAGTTTAAAGAATTAAAATTATCGATATTAAAGAAATTATAACTAATAATGAGGAATTAAAATTGATATATGCATGTAAGCTTATGTCAAAGAACGAAATTTTGCTGGAAATTTTTGCTTATTAGTTAGACCCGTTTGCATTATAAATTAGCAGATGACATTAGTTTATACTGATGTACACACTTAGAAAATAAGTTATTATTAAAAATATAAAGGACTTCTGGCTTCCACATGAACAGCCTCAAGTGATTAGTCATAGTGTCAATCATACTTGATGCTTTGCGATATATCAGAGAAGGAACATTTACAACAATTCTACATTTCATCATTTTATACATATGTATATCTAAATTGCGTATATTTACATATCTATGGCATCTTATTCATACTACATATAATTCCCTATCAAAAAGGGATATGGGCTATTCGAGGCTATCCAAGTGAATAGCACTGTACGTGCATAATAACTTACCCCATTATGTAGTACAATAATGAAATAAAACGCTTCAGTGGAGGCATTTCTGTTTTAAATTCTTTTTCATATAGTTTCCGTCCTTTGAAACAAGTTTTGTACATTTCTGCTAATCAACATTTGCATGAATCTTTTTACACGATTTTCTTTTAGTCGGTTTTCACCGTGTTTAGATTAGGTGTATTTATTGGAAATAATGGTCCAGAAAATTGATACAACAAAATCGGACATTCCATATGTTACAATGTAATATTACTTTTTTTTAACTGAATACCACATTGGGTATTTGTTAATTGTAAGAAAAGACTTACCTCTCTGGTAACGAAACATTCGATCGGGAAGGTCAACAGGATGGTCCCGCTGAACATGACCCTTGCAAAATTCATCAGGTCGTCGTCCCAGCAATAATTTTCCATGAGATCACCCTGAACGTAAGCAGTGAACGTCGCGTAGCCGATGATACCGAATGCCGTCGCGATCAGAAACGAGGTGAACAGTGACCAATGTGTCACGACGTCCCACTTTTGTTGCGTGGCCCTTTCTATGGACTCGTAGATGAGGAACGTATTGTGGTGGCACATAAACGCGAATGCCATGATCCCGATCGATGGGATTACGCCAGGAAAATTCGCAAACCGCCAACTATCACCTTGGCTCGGTCTGAAAATTAAGTCGATATCGATATTTATTTAACAAGGTCTTTATTTCAATTTTGTATTACTAATTTTATGAATGAATCGCAAGAGAATTAATTGATATAATATTATAATTAGTAGTAGTAGTAGTAGTAGTAGTAGTATTTTATTCTTCCTTGGTTAACGAGCCCTTTAGAATATACAAAGGAAATTAAAAAGAGCTGTGACAAACTTCTAACAATGAATGACACAAATATAAATTTTAAAATAAAACAAATAACAAAAACTTAAGTAAACTGACAAATAAAAAAGAGAAAGTATATAGTACTCTCTAAAGAGATAAGAAAATTAACTGACTTAACTTGAACTAAAAATGGATTAAAATTAAATTTAAATATAAGGAATGGGACCACAAGCAATGAATGAAAAAATTTAATTAATGAGAGGAATGATGAAAAGTAGAAGTAATTAAGCACAAAATATTCCGTTTCAATGTGGAGAGCGGAAAAATTCTAAAACGTTGCAAAATCAATTGATAGTAATATTCGGCAATATTTAAATACGTGCAAATAATAATCAGTAGATAGTGTATTTTATGCATTTATAAAAAAATAGTATCAGCAATAAATATGAAGAAGGTTTGCCATGTTCAAGAATATGCAAAATCCGTACCTGCGACAACGTATACATGATAAAAGAAATGTTTATTTAGAATTCATTTTTCAACCGATACCATAAGTGTTTTATTTTGCATAAAAATCCGCAGTCTAATAATCAGGATTTTTTAAAATATGCAAAAAGAGGAGAAAGGAAGTGAATTGATCTGTAAGTTTTGAAGGTTGTATGAGGCTGTAAGATCTCTGGTAAAAGTTAAATATGATAAAGTGCTATGTCCAATATTTGAAGTAATAAACTTTTAAAAAGAATGATATTTACAGAGGAATCCGGTCTTTAAAATTGTTTTTTCAAGCCACAGAGAATTTTTAACGCATAACATCTAATATTCTAATGTATAGTTTGACACTTCTTAATAGGATTGTTCCTGACTTGCAACTGTTTACATTTTCTATGTTTACAAGTACTATATTTAATTCTTATTTTTGCTTACTTTTTATTGATTATCTTAAATCTAATAACATCAAAGTTTATATTGTTTCAGCTTTAAAATATTCTTATAATATTGTGTGTGTATATATAAATATATAAAATTTTCTTTGTTGTTATCTATTTTTTTCATAAATTAAACCAAAATTTTGCCATTCAAGATGATATCTTTGTTAATATCCTCGCAAAATTTCTACAGTTTTGCACAGTGTTTTATTAATGTCACATCTAATAACTGTTAAAATGTCAATGCCTTGTCATTGTCTTTATTTAAGGGCCCATACAACCTTACCTAAATTAATAATTATAACTATATAAAACAATTTTAAATTTTTAATGAAAGAGAAAGTATCAATTTCAAAATATAATAATATTAAAAAGCTACATATTTTCTCAAAAAAATGATTTTATTGCATAAAAATTCAAAATGTAACAAAATAAGAAAAAATATTTTATCAGTAATGACAGACTTCAAATTACATATTATAATTATCATTTATAATTAATCTGCAAGTCGCTTAAACAATTTTTAAGGGAATTCTATCGATAGTAGAATTAACAACTAGATTTTGATAAAATTTGGTATACTGCTGGGTACGGATTTTAAAAGATCGTGGTTAAATTTTAAGTGATTGAAAGTATATACCTACGGCAAAAGTTATTCAGCATTTTATTTTACGTATTATGGCATATCTAAAACAGCACTTTCATTGCTGTATTCACATAATTAATTTATTTTGACTCTCACAAATATTGCACAATTATTTTTAAGTAAGCCTGTTTTCAGTAAATATTAGACTTTTATTGAAATGCTTCACATTATGCGAATAGTATTAGTTTCCCATAGTAAACACGAAATTTTTAATAACTTCTTTCTTTCGTATCTATAATGTCTAGAAATTTAATCAAATCTTTTTAAATGCTTTACTTAACAGTAGTACACCACGTGCTATCAAACTCTAATTTGACGATGAATGTAATAATGATTCATGCAACCTTAATTCAATCTTGTATTACTAATTTCATCAAGCAATCAAAAAAAAGATTGTACAATATTTACATTCCGGTAATATTTAAATAATCAGGACTTTTTGAAACGTGGAGTTAATACATCTGCACAATGGAACAAAGCGCGTCGAGGAGTTAAAAAAAAGTCGAGGGATGAAAGATTCATTAAGTCACTCACACAATTGCTGACATCGTACCCATCCGTATTAAGATGGCCAAGAGGATGAAGCCGACGCACACCAGCGAGAGGAAAGAGATCTTGGCCAAACGAGCAACGTTTCTATAAAGACACAGCGGTATAGTGATGCAAGCGGTCGCGAAAAATACGACCACTTGACGGTGCGCGAAAATGTTCGTCTCGCTTATCCCCGTCACCCTTATTAGCACTTTCGTCACCGTGTCGCCGACGACGACGTTGTAAGAGACCATCGCTGAAAGGAGGCGAACAAAGTAAATTTTTTTAAAGCGTCTCTCATCTATGAGAGTCCCTACGCTTTTAAACCACTTGAAATCGACTTCAATGAAATGAGAGGCCGAGCATTTTCCGATATCATCGGCTTCGATTGAGCAACTGCTGCTTTTATCGGATATCTGGCTTTTTCACTTTGAATTTCACTCAGTTTTCGAGCCAAATATCAAACGTTTGTTATAATTAACGCGTATTATAACGCGTATATAAGTTACAGTGAGCGAAATTCCTCTAAAGGTACGTACATACAGTAATGATTGAAACCAATTAGATTTCTCCTACAGTAATAATTTTTATAAAAAATATTCCAAATAAAAGAAATCAAACACTATAATATCAAGCGGGAAAATCCAACATGGTTAGTTCTTTCTTATGTAAATGTTTAGGTAACATATAAAGCTGAAGTATTTTTCTTAAATGGAACCATAGAATTGTTACATTAAATGGAATCATATATTTACTATTCTACAGTTTGATTCAACTTACCATTCTCTATGAATCTGCATTAACATGTTTGTATCAAAGAACTATTGGTTTAGAAGATATTTTAATCTTAATTAAACTGTACAATACGAAATTTTTTTGTAAAATCCAATATGTGATTCTCAAAGAATTTCTCATACCAAAAACGAATCTAGAAGCAGAAATGCTCCTACATACCGTTCCCGAGAAATAGTGGATTTTGTAAAAATACATAACTTTGAAGAAAATGAAGTATTACATGAGAACTATGAGCACAGAGAAGTTAACGTTTTAATCAACAGANCACATAAATAGACCATACAATAGTACTTTGTGCACCAAGGGCCGAAAATGGGTCTTTCCGGGCGAGGTTGATGTTTGAGCACGAGTGGCAGTCGAGGGCTCCACAGGCGCCCGAGATGAACACGAGCTGCTCAGAACATCATTCGAGCCTGGAAAGGTCCATTCGGCCCGTGTCGCACACAATATTTTTCATAAAAAGGGCATAAAAAAGACCATCTTTCTTCGCCTACAAAGCGGATTGAAAACAGAGTTTTCCCGTCCTAGGGCGGGAAAACTCTATTTTCGGTCCACTTTATAGGCGCCGAAAATGGTCGTTTTCGGCCTCGTGTTATGAAAAATAAATTATATGGAGATCGATAAGACGTTTCGAAGACGTTTAAAGAGTCCATAATTAAAAAAATTCGGCGACCCCTGATCTAAATCATGAGTTTTGGGACATTAATTGATAGTACTTCCGTAACGACCATTGTAATACACATCATTGTATTTGTTTTTATTTTGTTATTATCTATAACTCTCGCCATAAAGAAAAGATTTGATTAACATTTAAAAAGTTGAAATGTCACCTTGAATTAAAAAAAAATAGAAATAATACAAATAGATCAAATAGTTCATTATTCGTCCAGTTTACCCCACGTATCTCTCATCTTCAGCAATTTTTGTTCTGTTGCAATGTTTTGTTGTTTAGAAGTCATAGCAACGACATCAGTTACGCCATTCGACGTTCGTTCGTTTTTACATAATTGAAATCAAAATATCTTCTGAAATACAGGGTGTCCCAGAAAAAGTGTTAGTGGCGAAGAGAGGTCATTCTGTAAGTGTTTCTGAACAATAATTTCCTTTAACAAAATGCAAAGTGAGCCATGGTTTTTGAATTAGTAACGAAAAACACTGATCAATAAGAGCACGTGTAGGCACGTGAGCCTCCGCTAAGCCACGACTGAGCGTCACGATCCGAGCCAACCTACCCGTGTCTGGGCGCGGATCCTACACGTATTCTCATTGACCAGTATTCTTTGTTAATAATTCAAAAACCATGGCTCACTGGGCATTTTGGCAAAGGAAACTAATATTCAGAAACACTTACAGAATCACCTCTCTTCGGCTCTAACACTTTTTCTGGGAGACCCTTTATATTTATAATAGTGGGTACTTGATACAAACATGTTAATAATTTCTTTTATAAAGAATGACAAACTGGATTAAACTATGTAATAATAAATATATAATTCTCTTTAAAAAAACAAATATATTCATGTACGTACATACATACAGAAAACTGTGGCGTAAATACAGAGACTCTCATTAATATTCAGACGCACTTTAAAATAGAATAATTTTTTTATAACACGTGGCAGAAAGAGACCATTTTCGGCGCCTATAAAGTGGAACGAAAATAGAGTTTTCCCGAAAATAGAGTTAAAATAAATTTTACCGCCCTAGGGCGCGAAAATCGAGCTTACGCCCTAGGGCGGTAAAATGCAATTTGATTTCTAACGCTC